TGAACACCTCCACCTTCACCTAAACATGTTCTTATAGACAACTTCAAGTCGTTTCAAGTGAATTTTTTCTGAACTATTTGAGAAGAAATCTTCAAATGATCTCAAGAATAAAGCCATACAATATCCATCAATAGCATGAAATTGCATAAAAAAGTGAATGTTAAATTAGACGTCTTGAAATGACTAGTGGATAAGGTGGGGAGAGCGATCACCAGAGCAAAGAAAAATCTAGACTTCCAAGTTTCAACACTCTCAACTATTCAAATTTAAAGCAAAAAATACTAAGCCTACTAGGGGCCAAACAAAAATCTAGACTTCTTCAATCTCGACTATTCAAACTTGGAAGCACAAAAATTCCAACTCGAACCAAGTTAGCATAAACATGATGACGATTCGAGTTGTGAGGTGCAACACTATAGCTCAGTGCTCGGTTCCTTCTGAAACAATAGACCAAGCACAAACTAAGACATTGACATCCACCCCATCCAAGTCGGAACCCGAGTTCGAAGCCCAAGGCTGCAGCTCTCATATCATCATTTTGCAGGTTATCCTACCAAGAAATTGTTTGAAAAAGAAAGAGGAGAAGAAAGGGGCAAAAAAGAAGGGGAGTGGGAAGGGAGAAAAGAACAAACACCAGTGAAAAAGACTAAACAGTTAAGTTTTTACCCAACCAAATATCCTACTACTACAACCAGCAATCAGAAAAATTATTTGTACAGCTAATGCTAATCTTCTCCCACAAACAATCCCTCCTCAATTTCATCAATCAGGGTTGTTTACCATCTTTTCAATCTCAATAACATTACACGCTAAAGTTTATAATTTAGCGGAAAAAATAAAAGAGGAAAAGGAAAGAACGCCTGTAGCACATGCATCGAGTATCATTCTAGATTCATTGTCCAACATGCGCTTTTCAAGCACCTCATGCAGAGCGAATCGTGAATAAAGGTTCACTTCGATTTTATACTCTTTTGAAAAAAATCCCACCAAAATGATAAACTCTAAACCTAGGATATTAAAAATCTAATCAAATAGATAAGTTGTATAGCTTTCCCCTATGGACATGCTCTACCAAGCAGTTACAAACAATATTACCTGTTAAATATATATTTGCAATTCACCACGAATAAAAAAGCTTCCAAGTGAGTCAGCCATTCTGATCATACCCAGAAGGATGTTCAATTTTGATGCAATTAATCCCAGCAACATCTGTGGTTTCAACCGACCTTTAACAGTAGCTTTGCCTAACGAAGATAAACTTTTGGAGATTGGAAGGAAAAAGAAAAAGGAAAAAAAAAAAGAAGAAAGAAGAGATATGAGGGAAGAAGACAACAGCACCACAACAAATTGTACTACGTAAAGAAAGTATTAGATATTCCAAAATACGCTAATCATCATGTAAATGATCGAGGACTTAAATGGAAGCTTTCTGTTAATAACTTCCCACTGCAAAAGCATACCTTCGTGTAAACAAGAGAAAATCAACCCCGACAAACCTCCAACGATAATCACCCCGAATAACCTGCATTTATATTGGATAGAACAGGTCCAACACCCATTCAAATGGATATTAAAATGAAACCCATGCATCGGCCACATCAAAAGAACTCCTATTGTGAACACTAACTTCTAACCTAAAATAAATAGTATGTATTATGATTGCATATAAGACAAACCTACACAACAAAATAGACTTGAAACTCACAATGAGATCAACTCTTTAGTCCTCCAACCATGGTTACTCTTTTAGCACAAAGGACAAAAAAAAAGATAATACCAACATACTTCAATTCCTAAGTTAACAATCGTTGTTCAAATAGACAATTCAATTGAAAATTCACCATGTAAAAGAAGGTCATAGTTTAACCTACATCAAGCAGTAAAAGAAGCGCCCTACAGATACTGGGTGTCTTGTCTTGTAGACAAAAGGACAGCATTACTTCAAATGCTTAAAGCAGACCAACATCAACTGAAAGAGACTATTGCCTGCCAACCTGCAAAAGATGATCAAAGACAAAAGACAAGATGGATGAAAACTACAAATCAGAAGAATTTTCTGAGAAATGCAAACAAATCTTCTACACAAGAAGCCCTTTCTCATAAGAAGCAATGGATGCCCTTGAAAACGCCAACAAGCCAGGCTATAATTGCTGAGGATGAAATTTGACCCAGTTTATCAAGGTATTCAACTCTGCAATAGTCTTCTATTCTTGTCACACAGATTGTGTTACAGTAAACCATTTTCATGTCAAATATTAATGTAACTCCATCTCCTCAACGTCAGTCACCAGAAACTGCATCTGTATTAAGGTGCCGTCGAACATCTACTGTGAGCATCAGACAAGGAGAACTTGAAAAATTACAAACTCCATTAAACTCTAACTTCCTGCGTTAACATCCAAGAAGCCACTTGTATCAATATCACTGCTTCCACAACGATTTTGAAGCTTCAATTCTAGAGACCGTGAAATATAAAAGGTTGAAATGTGATGGTAATCAATGACGTTGTAAAAAGGGAACTAAAAAAAATCACATTGACTGACCTTACCAGCTAAATCAACTTGCTCAACATCAGGCACTTCAGTTTGGCTTGGTTCCTCGACATTGTAATATTGGGTTAACCCTTTTCTACCTTGATCATCTTCCGTTGGCATATCGTCTACAACCTTTGAGAGGCTAGCTTCATGCCCTGAAAATAGCAAATCTCAATTAATGTTTGCATGCTTATGACTTTAATTGCGCATCATTATTTTGATGTCTTCAATCGTTCAACTGTACTTACCTCCTCCAACAGGTTCTAGCATTGACTGCTCTCCATGTTTAAATTCATTTTCTTCCCGACTCGGAGATAAATTACTTTTTCCATTTTCTCCTGAAATTGACCTGGACCGCTGTCTCTCATGATTCTTTGAATTTTCAGCTATACATCCATTATCTATGTCAGTAACATGAATATGATGCTTATCTTCAGGGGAATGCGACCTCCTATGTTTTGATTTATTTTCATCAGAACTGGTAGGAGACAGCCTGGTCCCTCTTTGATGCCTAGCCTCAGGAGATATAGATCTGGATGGCCTTCTATCATGCTGCCTGGACCTTTTATCTCTGCTTCTATCTGATTTCTCCTTCTTGTGATGCTTACCATCTACAGATTTTGATCTGGATCTTCTTCTGCTACGATGCTTTAATTTTTCATCTCTAGTGCTATCTACCTTATTATCAGTACGATGTTTACTTTCTGAAGAACTTGATCGTGATCGCCTTCTACTATGATATTTTGACGAGGTAGCATCCACCTTCTCCTTAGAGTGATGCTTAACTTCCACAGAGTTTGATCTGGACCGCCGTCTATGTTTAGAAACATTCTTGTCCGTGCTTCTTGGGGACAATCTTCGTTTACTATGCCTGTCTTCAAATGAAGCAGATCTTGACCGCCTTCTTTCCCGATTCTTCGATTTCCCATGTCGCGTTTCATTTATTTTGTCATCAGAATGATGCTTAGTCTCGAGAGATTTAGACCTTGACCGTCTTCTATGTTTTAGTTTGTCACCATCGTCATTTCTTGGGGATGATCTGCTTTTCCCGTGATGACGACTTGGTGATCTCACATCAGAATGATCTGATTTTCTACCTCTTTGTGGTGAACGTTCCCGTGGGTGATTAGGAGAGTCTGAATCTGCTCTATATGATTTTCTTCTTCGAGGACTTATGCTTCTACTTCTATTTTTCTTTGAGATGGGTGAACGATGATTTCTTGATCTATCTAAGTCTCGCCGTCTAGATCTTTCACTAGCATCTCTTGCTTCTCTAAAGGCTCTCCTATCATCTTCATACCTAGAATAATGGCGAGATCTCATCGGTGATCTAGATCTATGATCTCTCGAGTGACGATATGGAGGTGAATAAGTTGGAGATCTCCGCCTACTTCGGTACTTGACTGGTGATCTTGATTTGGATTTTGACTTCTCCCTAGACAATGAAGGTGACCTGCAAAGAGGGAAAAAAATAAAAAATTATGCTTATCAAGATGGAATGAATTCAATTCGAAAAAGATAGAACTTGGGCTTTATACACATGACATACACCACAGGACAAAGGCATACAACTTCATGAGCATTTTCCTTCCTACCAAAGCAAAGGTGTGGAGAAAAGGGAAGATAAAATGCAGTTGAGAGATATTTCAACAAAATAATAGAGTTCAAATAAATTTATAAAAGATTGAGTTTACCAAGCCATCAATAAATGCTCAACGATTGCTAATTAAAGTCTCTTGAATTTGCTCAGTAACCTCGAAATCCTTTTTCTTATTCTTTTTTAGAGGCAGTGAATTAGTGAATTTATTTAGGGAAGGGGCGCAGGATTTTTTTAATGATAAAACAAGCTTTCATCAAGAAAAGAACGAAAGATAGAAGAGGGCGAAGGATTAGTAGTTGCAATTTACCATACCTTGATTTTTCTTTTGTCTCGGTTTCTTCATTTACAAGTCCATCAACTTTAAGTTTTTTGCTTATTTCAGCAGCTCTAGCTGCTGCCAACTCTGTTGCAGACTTCATAGTTGCTGCACGATTAGCAGCCTGCTGAGCTGTCACAGTTTGCTGCATCAGTAAAGCCTGCTGGAATTGCATTTGTTGCATGGCTACAGCTTGCTGCATCATCATGGGCAGAGAAGATGAAGCAAGTGAAGGGTTCGATGTAGCAGGTTTCTGTGGAAGTGATTTTGCCATCTCTACATTCAAAGGCCGACCTCCGACATCCATATTGTTCAATGCCAAAGCAGCAGTAGCTTCTTCTGGCTTTGAGTATTCTATGTAAGCAAAATGCTTTGAATCAGTAATGTTACATTCAACAACAGTTCCACAAAAACTAAAAAGTTGTTTCAGCTGTTCCACGTTGAGAATTGGGCTAAGATTGCTAACTTGCAGCGTTCTCTTCAGTGCATCAGCAGCCTTCCCGGATTTTTCAGATGAACCTTGCCAAACAAGCATAGATAGATAACAAGATCAATACAATAAAGTACACGAGAGAACCGAAACATAAACAAATAAACTTGAAGAACACACCGTAAGATGCATTTGAGGAGAGAAGCACAGTCACAAAAAACAAAAAAGTAAGCATTGAATTATTTTCAAAAACTGAGAATACCAGAAGATTCTTTTGCAGATTGAGCTTGTTGTGCTTGCACTTGAGCAGCATGGGCTTGAAGGGCTTGGGCAGCAACAATAGCCTGAGCAGCCGCCATAGCAGCTGCAGAAGGTGCCATAGGCACCTGACTGATAGTTCCCATGGTGGTTGTTGCAGCTATTGCAGTCATGAGCAAATTGTGAGGTGGATGATTTAACTTACAATCAGTTTTCGCACATTGACCATTAAGATATTCTCGACATACTTCTCCAAGAGATGCTCCAATTCCAGGCAAGATAGCACCACCAGAAGCACCAGCTACAATGCCTGGAATCATTCCCATCAACCCAGGAAATGCCCCCGAAACAGACCCTGAATAATTAGGCATGTTGGGCATATTTTGGTTAACCAAATTTGGAAATGAAGATGAAGGAGCTAAACCCAGGAGTCCACCAGAACTTGCCCCTGATTGGTGACAACAAACAGCWAAGGCATCAGATAAGATTTCATCTTAAAGACCAACCTCATTACAAGCTGAATGAAACAGATAATTCAATAACACACGAAAGAGAGTAAAGCAATTAACTATGGCCAAGGAAATAATGTTATCAATGTCTAATAAGTCTCCGTAATATTTATCCATTTCCCCTTCTCCCAAGCGCCCATTTATATCCCCTTTTTATTCAAACACCTCAACCTCAAGTACAAAACCGCAAAGCACATGAAAAGAAAGACAAGGGCACTGCCGCAACGGGCACCCAGTTAATCCAGGCAGCTATTGCATAGTGAGTTATCAACTAACAGAGTGATAAACTTTTCTCTCTCTATTTTTCATTCTCATGTATCATCTTTCTTCTCAAACACATTAATTCAGATGCAGCAACAACTATTAGACATAATAACTTTTAAAACATCAATAATTTCACGTCATCAAAGTATCCTAATTAATTATATTTAATGCATAAACCATCCGGGGCTGAGAATATTATATGTACTTAATAGATTAATCAAACTCTAAATTGCTAAATATATAACATAATAAGATTGAACGGATATCACATAATAATCAAGTACCTGCGCTAAAGAACACCGGGAATGGACTACCCATGATTGGTCTTCCGTTGCACTCAATATTAACCATATAATTCCCTCTTTTTGGCACCACATAAGTAATCGTATATGTACCATCATTCATATCCTTCACAATGCCATCTTGCTCGGTTCCACCAACACCTACACCAGGCGACACCTTTACTTTAATCTGTGCACCACCACGGGGAACTTTCCTCCCATCGGCATCCTTAGTTACCACAGTAAACGAAGCTGGCACACACGCCGTGCCACCAGCTATGCCTGCTCCAGCTGCTGTGCATCTAGCAGGGTCCACAGGCCCAATCGGCTTGTTTTCCAAGTCCTCGGTATCTTCGAAGTCACTATCTGAGGATGCTGCTTCTTTTGCAGGAATCTTATCGACCCCTTTAAAAGTAGCTTCGAAAGCAGCTTTCGCGGCTGCATCTTTCTCAGCCTCGCTCTTCAATTTCGCCTCTTCAGCTTGCTTCATCCAGATTGGTTTAGCGACCACCGAGTTCCGATCAGCCATGAAACCGTAGTTGCCCCAATTTGTAAGCTTAGGCAAAATATCGAATGCTTAAATCCAAAAAACCTAAATCAAATCAACCCACCAAAGCTTTCAGGCGTCAAGATTTACCACCAGTACACTTCAATACCCTGGATAGAGGGAATAAATCTCGATAACAACACACAACTGAACCCGAACAGATCGACAAACATGTAGAGTCTCTATGGCAGGGTTTTGAATCTTGATGTTTAAATAACTAATCCCAACAAGAATTTACCAAGACTACGTTTAGTAACGTTGTCCTCGCACTTGTTGGCGCGTATACAGAATAAAAAAAACGAAGATTAATCCTTATACTTTCCGGGAAAATTAAAGAACAACAGAGAGAGGAATCCCTAATTTTCCCAGGAACCAAACAGTTTACCGATCGGCAAACCGAGAGAGCCCTAGATCTGATGGAACTCCGACGAAGCGAGGGCCAATGGCGCGCTACCTATGAAGAACGTCGAAGGAAAACGTACCAATTTCGACGACGGCGTTCAGATAGGGGCGCGCGATTGAGTGGAAGAAACGAGGAGAACAACTGGCTTTTTTTTTATTATTTTTTTTTTTGGTAGTGGAAACCGCGGATTTTTCTTCTCGCTTACTAATTTTTTTATTTGTAAAGTTATGAATTTAGCGCTTTCTTTTAAAATTTTAAAATATGTTAAAAAGTAAAATCAATTTTTACCGGAAGTCAACGATTCTATCAGTCAAAGCAAATATAGTTTAACGGTAATTGGCATATATTTTTTCCCAAGAGGTTGTGAAATCGATCATTCACCCCACGTATTATATCAATTACATCTCACGACTTTTATCTTCTTATACGTTTTCTTTTACAAATTTGCTAAAACCGCGTTTGGTACAAAATTGATAAAAATTTTTAGAACAAAATTAGAATTTTTTTTAATGAAACTTTTAAGCTTTGATTTTGAATTTGTGTATTAATTAAACTTAAAGCTCGATTTCCTTGAGATTATTGAGTGTTTTTTTAGATCTTTACATTATTTTTTAACTTTTTTTTATTACAAAAAATTGGGAGCATAGGAATTTGAATCTCTAACTTTGAGGAAAAGAGTATAGATGAAAATTGTAACATGATCCAATTTGATTAAATTAAAATTTATAGTGAAAATTAATCAAGCTGGTAAAACTTAGGTGTAAATTGATTTTAGGTTTAGTAACTATTCAGTTTATTGTTTTTTTTAATTAAAAAATAGAGAAACGTATTTGGTGACTACTTATTGTTTTTTGTTTGAAAAAAAAAGGGTAAAAATGTTATATGAGATTTTTTTTGTAAATTAAAATTTAAAAATTGTATGTTATATTTTCTTTTTAATATTTAGAATGCATTTTATCTATTATATTTCGAATAAAAAAATTGAAAACGAAAACTATAAACAAATAAATTGTTTTTGTTGTTTCTAAAATAAACGTTTCAAAAAATGATAATCAAGAATCAACTTTAACAAAGCGCAAGATAATTACTTGGCTGAACTTTGAAGTTAAAAAGATGTGATCATCAGAAACAAGCTTTAAGCTTACAACAATTGGGTCTGACCATAGCCAAACTTCTCACTCACATACATTAAACAACACTCAGCTCTTCCACAAATGATAACATTTTTAAAGAGAGCTAAGAAAAAAAGGTACACATTCATAGCTACTCTACACTATGCAATGGTTTTATCATCTTCAATTGCTTAACCCTCTCAAAATCCAGAGCTTGGAAATTCCTTTCAACCTCCCAAGCTTGTTGGGACATGCCGTTAAACATTGACTTCGCACCCTTCTCGTCTGTAACTTCACTTGGAAATGGAATTCGGAATTCAAAGGTCCCCTTTTGAGGAGAGAATACCCGCAAGTCGAAGCCTAACCGATCAACCCATATCAGCTTTGCTTCTGCAAACTGTCGAGAAAAATTGAGAACCATGAGAAGAATACTACAGAATGGGAGGGAAAGAGGATTGATTGGCCTATAAGAGCCACCTGCCCATAGAATTCAAGTCTACCTATGTGTTTTATGAATAAAGTTATCAACAAGCAATCTTAGCCTTCTACGTTTGCATAAGCTAAATCTAAGAAGTGCCAGCAGGCTATTTTACGGATGCAGCACGAGAACGAACACTTGATGGAATAAGTTTTCTTGATCCATAAATGCAGCTTTGCTTTCTATCGATCTCTACAGAATAAATACAAACAATGACCACTAGCGTGATAACTTCATTCTACTGAGTCGAACATGTCCCATTTGAACTATTTTCCTCTTTGACATGTACTGCTTAACAAAACGATGCATGAATTATTGTTCATTGAAGACCTCGTGATGGCTTATGCAATATGATGCTTGCAATGCAGATATTATTTTGACTCGTGGAGAATTCAAAAGTCATTTTGCACCGAAAAAATGAAGTAATGTTCGATCCAACCTCTACCCACGGTATATTATACATATCACCGGGAAGAACTTCATTAATGCTCAAAGAAATTCTTTTGTAATTATAGCCTCCTCGTGATTATTAATGATTGGAAGGCTTTGCTTTTGTAGCCTTTTGGGTGGGGTTTCCTCTAATTGGCCCCTAGTCCTCTGTGTTGTTGCCATTTTATCGCAATACAATCTTGTTTTCATAAAAATAAATAAATAATACTAATAATCGTCAAAACTTTGGGGAGTAAATTTATTTTCCATGCTTGTATAGGTAAAGTCATATTGTATCTCACTCCTTTTTTGTTCAGAATTTCAGAAGTCATTTTGTCTTTCTTCAACCTTTGATTATATTTATATTAAATGACATATAATACGTTACTCGAGAAGAAGGACAGAGTGGTTGATACAGAGCTCATGTCTTATGTTAGACCGCAGTAGTGAGAACATATACTAGGAGGGGTAGAAGGGGAATTATACTTCCAGTTAGTTAGAAGGGTGGAGCCCATTCGGGCGTGATTAGTAGATCTGTTAAAAGGGAGAATGTTCCCTTGGTGGAGGTAGGTAATTTATTAGCTGAGTAAGAATAGCATAGTGCTATTTTGGAGAGTTCTCCAGCCCTCTCGAATTGACTGGGTTGATTCTGTTGCTTTTGTTCTTGAATATCAATAAAAGTAAGGGAATACCTTACATCTTATCGCCCTGCTTCTCTTTGATAAAAGGGACAAAAAGTCTGCTTTAATGTACCTAGAGCGTCTAAGTGCCCCTTATTTTAGGGGAGCTGGTCCGTGTGGTAGAGGGTGAACAAAGGATAGCGTGCTCATGCTGGAAGCGAGCTAGCGGGTGAACAAATCACCAACCAAACAGGACACTTGGTAACCAGGAGTGAGATGAAAAATTATGGAAAGCAGAGGTTGCTGCAGTTTGAAAGAAGAAAGGCAACTCGTTTAGAGAAGAGAGGTGGAGCCAGTGACTTCTATTAGGGGTGGTTTCCAGCTAAGAATCTAGCCTTGTAGAAAGACAATTTTTAAGAGATGCAGAAAAATAAGAAGACAAGAGTGAAGAGACTCGTATCACACAGCCTGTTGATTGGCTAGAGAACAAAGAATGTAAAACCAAATCTCCTAGTAAGCCTAGAATCAAAAAAGATGCAGAAGATTACTGTATAGAAAATGAGGTAAAATGCAAACCTGAAAATTCAAATCAGCATATATGTTGCAAAAGCGATGAACATCTTCAGCGTTGTTTGTGTTTATCTCGTCCACTAGCCTTTCTGCAAAATTTCGAAGAGGATCCGGGCTTGCAGTTTTATAATCTGAAGAGTTCACCCAAACACCAACCTAAAACAATAAGTACAGGTGCTTTGCAAATTAGATTAGTACTCCAACGAAAATCTCTACAAACTGGTGCTTTGAAACTGGTCCCTGATTGACATGCCGCATAAAAAAAAAAAAAATTACAGAAAATGAAGTCTGTACCTCCCCAAAGTCATCTATCTGAAGTACCCTATCCACGGTAACAATATACAGAATATCTTCATTAATTTCTTCTCCAAATCTCTTTTTCCATGTTGTATGAAGCTGCTGAAAAACATGGCATTTAAAATTTAATAAAGAGTTGATCAAATCCTATGGGTATAGCATTTAACAACTTACTGTTGCCAATGCCATATATCAATGCATAAGATGTTCCAAAGTTATATAGCAATAGCTTGTATAGAAATCTAAAAGCTACTAAATCACAGGTACAAGAATAAGAAGAGAACTTGAGAAAACTCGCAACATCTCATGGTTCCGGAATGAGAGGGGAAGTGGGGGATATCAAGTGAAGACAACATCATACGAGGAACAATGAAATGGTAAGCCTGCTTGATCCTTCTCATCTTCCATACATAACCCATAACAACTTCGATCCAGAACCCTGCAAGGGCATTTCCATGCCATCCATTACCAATATTTACTACACGACTTAATGGTCCATATCATAAATTTTACCATTTTCAGGCACTGTGTTTTCCCAGTGACATGTAAATCTTTGCATTTGGATGAAAAAAGCGAACCAATTAGCTCCCAATTATTTTACTGAATGTGCCTGGCCCCCAGCTCCCCTTGTCCTCCATACCCTAGAAGGTCGTACATTATGCAGAATTTGAACCAAACCTCTCCATGGTCAGGTACTATCTTCCCACATGTCTCGAGCATTAGCATTTTTAGCTTGGGCTACCCAACATGACGAGTGATTTTCCTTACTTTTGTGAACCACCCACTTCTTCCCTTTTGGTTTTTACTTAAGTTATGGATTAAAACTAAGTTGGTAAACTGGATAGAACAGCTTGACATACAGTTGAACGTCCTCCTTTTGAAAGAAAATAAAGTTATTCCATATTTTGAACTTCTACAAAATGCCTTCCTATATTGGATTCCACAATTCTAGTTTCTTCGACTTCCATTGTGGGCATTTCTAGGTATGAAATCAGGGGAAGTTTAACCTTGCACCCGATAGTAACACTAGCGGCTACCATTTTGAGCCTCGCCGTAGATAGTTAATACAGTGCTAGAGATGGTTTCTTCAGATTCATCTACAGTCTCAAAGTATCTCAAAAAATTTTACGGCTTAAAAGATGATTTCTATTAACACACCATCGTCTTCGAAAATGTGTTCAATAGAAACAATACATAAAACCCTGATGTTACAAGGCATCAATTTCACAGATTTCTCTTAAGGCACTGGACCAACTTGTGCACAAACAACTCTTCAGGAATAATATTGGTCCCATCATAAGCATAAATTGTTGTTAATGTACAACTGGTTATCAGGAGTATTCTCGTCACAGGATGAACAACAGAATTCTGCAACCATTATTTGTGAACAACGATCACAGTTCTCCCTAGCTATGCCACAACTCAGCCGGGTAACAACAATTGAGTTCCTCAAACAAACTATACTAAAAGGAATGCGTATCCTAAAATCCAGGACGGCAGAAATTTGTACCTTCAAAATCATTTTGTTGTCTGGTTTGCCGAGACTACCTTGAATTGTACACTGAGGAGTCCGCAGTCCACACTGCTCCAACTGTTCCAAAGAAAATTGGCAAACATGAGCGGTATTACATCATTTGCAATAAAGATTTCAATGCAATTCCTTCTTGTTTGGCTGAAAACAAACGTTGAAAACAGTGATATAATTCTCCATATTTCTTTAATATCTTATCTATATAACGACTTTCAAAATCATGATTCAGAGATTTCATCTTCATGTTCACAAAATCCCACTTGGGGCCTTGACAAATGATGTAGCTATCCTATCCATGAATTTACATTATCATTAGTAACCCAGTAAAATGAAGAACCTGAACGTGGAGGCTGGACCTCCTGTCGATAGAGAGCTCCCGCAAAGATTCATTCAAGCTCAGAAGAGGCGTACCGTCTTGGTCAACAGCGAAGCGAACGCCAATGCCGAGAGGCCATCCCTCTTGTGTCAAAGAAGAGAGCGTCCCAACAGAAGACAGCTCCATGATTGTCCTCGAAACCTCAGCTGGTAACGGCTTCACATTCCGCAGTTCCGTCGGGGCCGACTCGCAAATCGTCGAAACAGAACATGTCAGAGCCCGATACGAAATCTTACGGAAGCGGCATGCGTTTAGAGAAGCGAATCGAGACTTCGAGGTTGGTTTTAATGGAGCGACAAAAGGCGCGAACTGATTCGTGAGAGTTTGAGCTTGAAGATGCATTTGATTATGCCTCGGAATCACCTATAGACTCAGAATTTAAATTTTGAGTTTGAATTTCGAAATTCTTGAAAGGATTGAGGAATTCGGCTCGCTGGCAATGGGATGAGAAGAACTGTGCAAAAGAGGGCTTGTGAGGATTGTGATCGACGCTCCAGAGAAGCAAATTAGCGAGGGTGGGAAGATGAAGACGACAACACAGAGCTGTGATCTGCTGTATTGCAGCGTATTGTAACGTGTACGTCAATCTTATCTTCATCCAATCAAACGATACCTTTTGATGAGTTTTTTTTTTTTAAAAAAAAAGTAATGAATAATTTTTTAATAGAATAATGGGAGACTCAAATCGATGACATCTCAAAATATTACAGTCAATTTAGAAGCACTGTGACGTTAAAGTTTGAAAATAATAAACAGTGGAAATTTTCACTGGTTTATTTTTTTCTTTGTTTTTAAAAGATTTTTTATTTGTATTTCAACCAAAAAGGAAGCAGATAAATTGTTCCCGTAATAAATATTTTCTCAAAATTATTTTACAATTTTTATTTTGACAAAAAGATTCTTCTAAACTTGCAATATTTCCCATTTTTATCATGAAAAACAAGCAGAGGGATCGTTTTCATTCATTCTTCTTATTTTCCGGTTAAACTTCATTTTTGCTCATGTAGTCTATTATTAGTGTCGATTTATTTTATTTTTTAATTTTATTTTACAGTCAATGAACGATACCAATCTCATAGACGTGAAACAAAATAATATGTCGATCTTTTGATCATAAAAATGACCAAGTATTTGGAAGCTCCGATCTTAATGATTCACGAACACAAATGAACCTGTAAAAAAAAAATAAATAGCTTTGACACTCAAGTTACTACAAGTTTGATCTATTGCTCGAGAGATAATAGATTTCACGTATCTAAAAAAGAGACATAACTTTTATAATAGTACTCTTATTGCACTATTAAGGTGAGTTGAAATCTTCCAACTTATGGCACATTGACACGTGGCGATGAAAAATCGCATCCCAATACCGGCTAAACTATTTTCTTTTTTATAATTTATTATCAATACAAATAATATGTCGAAATGAATATTGTCTGACAATAATAAATATTAGTAAAATTTAATAAAAGTATTTTTTTTAGTACAACATGTGGGGTGGGGATCAAATTCACAATCTCATAATTGAAGATCTATGTTAATTATTATTGAGTTAGGATCGCTTTGACAAAATTTAATAAAAATACATATAACAAAGTTGATTTTTAACCGACGATAGTCAAATTGAAATAAGCGACAAAGTATTTAAGAAGGAAACATATGCTTTAAATCTCAGAATAGGTAATTACCAAACAAAATGAAGTCTAATAGTACAATAATTATCATTTTACGTGCCGCAGATCTAAAACTCCCTCCTTCATTTTCAATGGAGTATTCTAATTCTAAAAAAAATAAAAAGCTCATGTGGTACGACCTCTTAATATTACACCACTGAATCCCCAATCCTTTGCTTGAAAGGGAAATTAACTAATAATTTATATACCCGCCAAATTATAAGTTTATAATAAAAGTAGTGAAAAACTTTACGTGATCTATTATTTCTTTTCAACGTAGATACTTTATCAATCAATCTAGGTTAGATTGACGGCATAATCTACCTTCCTATCATTTTTGGAACTTAATAATAATAATAATAATAATAATAATAATACTATATTTTTTTCACCGATTCTTCCCTATTTTCTTGTGACTCGAGGTGAAAGATGATGATATTAGTACATTACTAGTTTAAATTTAATTTAAAAAACAAAAAATTGAAATTGAAAGTTCCTTTGTCGACCATATATATATATTATATAATATATTCACTGTATCTGATTGGGACGTTGGGAAAAAAAAATCCAAGTGGCATCCACTATTCACTTTATAAATAACAATGCACCAGTAACTTAAAAAAATAATAATAATAAAAATTAAAAAAGGAAAAACTGCCCCTTTGATGTGGCCAAGGGGCTGCTCCAAAACACTGAAACAGTATACCTTTTGTTTTCAATTTTCTTTCTTTGTTTTTTCCTTTYTTGAAAAGTCTGATTGCCAATGTGTTTAACGGAGACTTTGTATTAAATAATTAATTGTTTTAACGAAGACTTTATGACTTTGACTTGTTCAGCCATCGGATCAACCAAATTTCGCCACGTGTTGGATCGTAAACTAAAACGGCGGCAAATTAAAATCTCTAAACCGTCACATATTTTATTTATTTATTTTTTGATTTATGGATACAGGACGACTCTCGAACCTGATTCTTGGGTGTCAACACCSAATGGTGCATCACACATTTTATCTTAATTTTTAAATTTTGCATACAAAATTATTTTAGTTGCTGTAGTTATTATTTAGTATTTTTTCATAAATTATTTAACAGAAATTTAATATTTTTGTTCATTTACCTAATTAACAAATAATGTTTATGATAAATAAATATTTGATATATCTAACAACCGAACCTAATCTAATACATTCATATATGTATTTTGGAATAAGAAATTGTAGTTCAATCTTATTTTCATTTAAAAGAAATCATATTTAATAGATTAAATATTAGATTTCAAAACAGGTTGAATATTTATTAAATAGTTGATGATAAAGTAAAGATAGTGACYAGTGAACTACATATCCATGTGCAAAAATTGGAAAACTTAAATAAATTAAATATTAATTTTTATCTCTATCATCAACTTTTATTGTTAATTTTATAGTCTAAAAAATGGGACGAGAGATTGAATCAACTCTAGAAAAGATAATATGTTGATATCATATGTTCGCATTGACCATTTATGATTAAAGTTGTTTGCTTTGCCCATTTTAAAAATAAATTTATACGATGAACATTATAAAACTTTGCAACATATGAAATACATCTTACTACATGATACCAATAAGTTGAAAATAAATTTAAATAGTATGAAAAATAATTGTACAATGTCCTACTACCTTTTTAGATACAATAAAAACCACCGAGTAATATTTTGATCAGTTAAGTTAAGTTATATTTATATAAGCAAATCATACTCGAAGTCATGACATAAATTTATTAATATCTTAGAAATTCATTGTATAAATTTGTACAGATCTAAATTTTTCATTTTAAGAGATAGTATACAAAATTTTTATATACAAAAACAAATAGATGTATATAATATAATACATGCATTCCAAGTCAAATCTCTTTATACTACCGTTTAAAATATATTATTTTCAATTTTTTATTATAATATAATTAAGTGTGGCGTATCATTTGAACTATGTTATTTGTTTCATTTAAATACTAGAAACGTATCAACACATAAATTTCCAATAAAAATGATTGAAATAGTAAAATTTCGATTTGTCTGTTATATTGGTTTAGTTATTCTTATATTAAATTCGAGGGTTCTTGTGTCTTGTTTGATTGTMCTCTTTGCCATTAGGGATACAAAGAGGATGCCCTAAACTAATAGTCAAATTCCCTTAGCTATTTTCATTAGTTTATTTAGTCATAAAGATTTGAATGATAATGCCATAGATTTGGTTGATTATATTGTAAATAATCAACATCAATACCAATGCTTTTATTTATTTATTTGTGAACCATRAATTGAGGCAATAGGCATGCATTATCTTTACATTATAAAAATTCACTTAGGAAAGCAACATCTTCTTTTTTTAATATTAGAGTCAAGATTTTTTTTTTTGGAAAAAAAAGGTAAAAATACAATAAAAGCAAACWATTTTTCTAGTACCTCCGAGCCCAAGAAAAATAATAGGTGTCAATTACTGTTTTTTTTAGTACAATATGTGCGGATATCGAACTCACAACCTCATGRTTGGAAGTATATGTCAATAAACACTAAACTATGCTCGCTTTAACTAGGTGTCAATTACTGTTAAACTATACTCATGTTAGTAAATTTACGTTATTATTAATATATTGGTTTAATTTAAAAAAAAAAGGAAGAAAACCACATTTCAAGGAAAGTAGTTTGTATTCACATTTTAAATTCGTGTAACATAAAAGGAAAATAATTATTAAACCGACTTACTTTTTAAACTCACACAATGAAAATTAAATAATTACCAATGCGTCCGATCCTCTAGCTGGCCATATTCATCAATTTCATTTTATAATTGATTTTTTTCCCTTTTTCAGTRACAGGCTGACAGCTATTTATTTTCAATTCTACAAGCGATCCGTTCAAGAGAAATAAAAAGCCACGTGTCAGAAACACGTGGACGCAAGTACAAAGAATCTTAGGAAAAATTTTATAGTACWKTTCACACCACAATTTCCTTTTTACTTATAAATAATTCTTTAATTTTAATGGATTCAATTCGAAATCATAGTGATGTAACATATAATAAATGYGCACCTCYAACGTTGATACCTAATATTYAGGTTCGAACCATTTTATATCTAAAAATTWRAAAAAAAAACGACAATAAATGTAATAATATCTAGTAGAAATTTTCATGAAATCTTAAAATGAGGAAACCAYAATTTAGGTTTAAACAGTATTTTTTTACATACTGTTTAATTTTAGTCTTTCTGCTTTCAAATATTAAATTTGAACTTTATACTTTCAAATTTTTGTTTATTTTAATAATTGTACTTTCAAAATATTCATTCTGATTTTTATACTTGTTAAAAAATGAACAATTTAGTCTCTTATTTACCAAACTTTAACACAAATTTTATAGAYTCTTTATACAAATTTATTATTACATTCCAATCAATTTAGTGAATTAAGTGTCTTACTAAAATTATAAATGAAAAATGAGTTGGAAATGCAAATGAATGAATCTAAACTGTCACTTTTAAAAAGCATGAAAATCCAAAATGAATAAATATTTTCCTTTTTGTCAATACAAATATTATATTAAATAAAAGTTTAAAGTATGAAAAAAMATTATTTGAACTTTTGTCSTTAGAGTTTTCTTTACTACTCAATTTGGCTCATRGACTTTAAATTTTAAATTAAATGGAAAAAAAAAACTGAAGACTAAATTTGAAAATTTAAAAACTCAAACAATAAAATACGAACAAAAATCCCAACACCTTAACCATAAAAATTAGTACACCGGCAAACTCGTGTGAGTAGATATTATTTTAAACCTTGTTTATTCTTTATTTTTATTTTC